ATTCGTTCTGCGGGCTTGCGGACGAAGCTGCATTACGATATATCATGTACAGATGCGATTACCCCTGAATCGAATGTTTAAAACTGGAAGCTTGGTAGAATTGCCTGATCCACCACAAATTTCGAGCAGGATCGCAAGGAAATGTCGCTCAATGGCTTGGATGATGCGACGGTCAAAGAAGCATACGATGCCGCGGTAGCTGAGCCAGGAGGATGGTATGCTTATATTCAATATCTTGTATCTTTTTTGTCCATTTTGTGCCGTGATATGGTGAACTGATATTGTGCTTGTATTGTAGGTTCCTTCTAAAGTATGCTTCGAGAGACGAAATAGAGTTGTTGGGCCGTGGCAACGGAGGAATTGTGGAAATAAGGAATAAAATTGGACAGTATGAGGAACCATCACCGCTGTTCGGGTTTCTACGATATAGGCGACGGAACGTAGTCATCAAATATGTACCAGACGGATGTTCAAGGTTGGTTCAAGGTGGGTTCCCCTTGTTGATCTCTATCTCAAATTTTCACCTCTGAAATCTAAAATCTGATAACCTGATAGCTCGCGTCACTGTTCATTTTAATGCTGTTACCGAAAAGTTCGCTCCATACCATACTATATTCGAAATAACCACCGCCAAAGAGCTCCGTGATACGACCCTTTCTGCCGCATGCTCACTACATACTGCCTCTGGATCGGTCTCATCTTCGACTAGTTCTTTGCGCCGACGACGTTTAATGGAAATTGCAGAGGATGAGGAAGAGGATATTAGAATAAAAAGGCAATCCACAGTTCAGGAGGAGCGCCCCCCTACCGCACAAACTATTACCTCAACATCTGGGACCCAGCCAACAGTTGATCCGACCACCCTGCCATCCGATCTACCAAATTCATTTACTTTCTCTTCCATGGTTGCAGAAGGGGGCAACACTCTCGAAACATCTCCTCCTCCTCCACGTAATAAAGCACCTTTGAGCTTCGATCTTGATACTTCTCCGCCTCCTCCAAGGGAGCCGCGTGAAACTGAATTCGGATCGTCGTCACCTATTACAACAATTGACGAAGTTCCACGTAAATCATCTCAGTCGGCACGACCTGATTTGTACAGTCTCGCATCTTACGAGTTCAACGGCAAACCTAAAGTCAGACTTGGACCTCGCCCTTCTCTCGATGTAGGCAAAACAACCACAACTGGAGGAACCTCTACCTATCGTCCTGTGTCAACGCTCCCACAGGGGTTGAAAATATCTACAAAGGGGGGATCGAAAAAGGGGCGGGCGAGTTTAAGCTCGCAGGATTCTGGAGAGCCTCCCAGTATGAGTTTGTCACCACCTTCTATTCCTGAAAATGGAACCCTACCCACGTTTCTCCCTTCACGCCCTCACACAAGTGGTGGACGGCCCAACACCAGCTCCGGGGCCTCGGTTCGATCAACATTATCAACGAAGTCAGCTGCTCCCAGTGCAAAGGTCCCAACAATTACTCCAGAGAAGGCAAGACTTATGAAGGCTATGGAAATGCGGAAGAGGCAGATGAGTACAGGTGCACCTGCACAAACATCGCCCACTTCTCCAAAGTCCTCAGCGTCCACCAGAAATCTCGAGATACCTTCCGCGTTGAGCCTAACAACATCACAAGGCGCGCCGCAGGAAATTCAAGATACCTTGGCTTTGCTAACTGATATGGCCGAAGCAGACAAATCCGCGATCACACTTGATACCAGCTCCACCCTAAAAACGGACGACTCGGATGCTACAAGAACCGATTCCTACCCAGTATCTCCCGTTGGGCCTTCAGAAAAAGCAGAATCAACAAGGGCATCTTCTATTTCAGAGCTGACAGATGAAACTGTCCAAGAAGAGCTGTTTACTAAGCCAATGACCAAAGATAACATGGCCGAAGAATTCTCCCCTGCTAATTCGTCGGAAATTACTGAAAGGGAGCCGGTTGTAAAAATATCATTGCAAACTCCAGAAATAGACGATGAAGGCACCGAGGAAATAGCTACCGTTGTTACCCATTCTGTCCCCCAAGACACAATAAAGGATAATCTAACGGGTACCACGGTGTCAAACGAAGAAGAACAATATCCCGAATCCGAAGTCGTATCTGAGGCCAAACCGGAATCGTCAGAAACCCCCATTACGATGTCCAGTGCTCAAGATTTAAGTGCTGCTGCAGATACTCAATCTGGGTCTTTGCAGACTTCTACCAGTGAGCCTATCTTCAAGTCATCCGAGAAAAGCTTGATGGACAGTCCTTTCGCTCCTGGATACACTCTTACACAAAAGAAGAAAGTCCACAATATTGAGCCAATTCGGACTAGTTTTGATAGGAGTGGCCATAATTCGGAGGACAACTTCTCCTCTGATGACGAGCTAATGGATGAACTGCAGTCTGCTGTAATTCAAGATGCAAAGCCCATGTCGGTGGCCAAATCTCCAATTAGTCCTTTGTTTCCTCAACCCACGCAGAATGAGATGAAATTTTCAAGAACTGTCTCAAGTCCATTGCAATTAGTCAATGCGAATCCCTCACCTCTTTCTGCGCGACCTGGTGGTGACCGGCCTGTTTCTCGGCCTGTGTCAGCTTCAGCGAACTTTTTAAACCGTATAAACACGCAACCTGCTGCCGCACCCGTTATTCCTAAAAAGATCAGTGTAGGGTCTGGTGTTGCGAACAGGATTAAAGCATTCGAGAAATTTCAAAATCTAGCACCCGAGTCTTCTGCAGTACCATCCACATTAGGACCAAGTCCAACTGCAGCACCTGCGTTCTTTTCTGTTAAAAGAAGTACTGTTCTTGTTCCATCACGAGCTCCTTCCATTGCCGACCGTACAAATTCTTTGAATAAGAATACACCAAATCCTAGTAATTCACGAGAGGGGTCGCCAGAAATTTCTATAGGACGCGAAAGAGCAAGTTCTATTCAGAAAAGAGTTGCTTTGTTGAAGCCTACGCCCGCTTCCGAACTCAAGACGACTCGATCTCGACCTGAATCTGTTCAGGTAACTGCTCGCATTATTAGAGACCCTAGTCAACCATTTCCTCAGATGCCAGAAATTGGCAAAGATCCTTCGGAATTCAATTCTCTTGCATTAAAAGAATCACCACTGATCATAGATCACCAGAAGGCGGTTTCTAGTCCTCCGAAAGACACGATATCCGAGAGGCGTTTATCAACGTCCTCGAAAGCTACCGTAACTACTAATAATGAGAGGCGATCATCTATTGCAATGGTCAAAGATCTCATCAACGACCGACGTTCTTCGCTCTCTGAGCGTCGACGTTCTTCTGTTATTGAACCTTCCGCATCTACCCCGGCCGTTATGTCGCCATCACGAACTCCTTCCAATGATATTACATCTCCTGTCCGGAGATCTCGCCCATCTTCTGTCAGCAGTCGTCGCAGTATTGAACGTTCGGAGTTCTCTCCACCGCCATCAGCTAGCTCAACATCTCCTGTAAATGATGATAAGTCCGACAAAAAGTCTGGTCGTGCAAGTCGTATCATGAAGCGCATGTCTTCATCTCTATCTTCAAGTCGCAAAGCGATTGCACATGCCATCTCACCTACGGTCCGTGAGGAATCAGAACCTCCAGTGTTTCCTGATCAGGGAGCTTCATCTGTTCCATCCCAACCATCCTTGGCAGCTTCACCTACCATTGCTAATGATCTTGGTGATGTCAACGTTCAATTCCCTGATAGTCTTTTATGGAAGCGTAGATCAATGGTGTTAGATACTCAAGGTCTTCTTATCATCACAGCCGGTGTAAATGATAAAGGAGCAACACGAAGATTTCATCTTGGTGAATTTAGAGCTCCTGAAATTCCTGATGTCGATATGCAAGAATTACCAAATAGTGTTGTGTTAGCTTTCTTGGAAGGTGGTGAGCTACAAATCGCATGTGAGGATCGAGCTAGCCAGGGAAATACTTTAAATGGTACATTGAATTCTATTATTTAATCTTGATCATATTTACTAATGCAAATTTAGTTCTACGAGAAGCTCATGGCCACTGGGCGGCCTATGGACAATAATAACCACAATCGTCACTCCTTTGAACAAGAATATTTTGATTTTCTAATTCTTCTCATACGACTTTGATAGTCACTATTTGTTAATATACCTCTCCCTCATTCCTTGACTTATTTTTTTTATCTTAGAAGGAAAACCTTCACGCAGGATTTTATGACGTATGGAGGCTCTAATTGGGCATTAGTGATTTTATGTTGAATTGCGTCATAAAGAGGAAGAGAACTGGAAGAAAAGAGGGAAAGAAAGAGAGAGCGAGTTGAGATACCATCACCTGGACTTTAGCAGTCAAAATTTTCCTTTTTCCGTCTGTAATCAATATTATATGTTTTGTAAATCTTTTTATTTTTCCTTCTTCTTTTGAGATAACCCTGCAGCATGCGAATAGCGCAGTCTTCTTTTTTTTTTTTTAGCACTAGTCCGACGGTATATGGATGGTATGGTGGATATGCATTTTTTTAGGGAAAAGAAATGGAATAGGATACAAATACAATGTCTACCTACCTATTTGCAACTACTTATTGATGTGATTGTTTGGTGTGAAAAGAGTTAGAATGAGATATCTGATTATGTTTAAGAGGTGTGTAGTGAAAGCATAATCAACTGTGGTGTATGGCGGCTTAAGGGTCGTCTTTCCCAACGGTTATGAGCTGCCAATTTAATTAAATAAAAGTCATAAGTCATACTCATTCTCGGCATCGTCAGTATCATACATATGTAATATGAATATCCCCGAATCCAACATAAATAACAGCAGAACCCAGAGTATAGGGCTAACGAGTAAACTATATCACAGCAATAAAATCCCTCTCCTTCTAATTTAGATGCAGCAGTGTATATTCAGCATTTCATATCACCACTAGCTCATACATATATATATATATATATAAATATATACATAGAGTATCAATAGATTCCAAGATTCCAAATATATACCCATCCGCCCCCCTCGTAAGCATACAACAGCACGGCCTGCTGGCCCAATGGCAAGGCGCTTGACTACGACTTTCAGATTCAGAATTTCTGAAGCCAGCATCAAGAGATTGCAGGTTCGATCCCTGCGTAGGTCAAAAGCATCTTTTTGTAGATGTTGCTCTCTTTTTTTCTCTTTTTTTGCACCAAGGTACTTTGGCGGAGGGAGGGTTTTGGTAAAGGGGCTGTGGGTAAGCGAGGGGTTTGGGTGGTGGGTGCACGGACTCGTGAGACGGGTTCACGAAATCACACTCAAAATAGCACCTTCGGAATTCGATCAAAATTTGAATTTTTGATAAATCTTTTTGAAGATAAAATAGCTTATAGAAAGATAATAGAATTATATCATTTTCCAAAATTCAAGGAATTATATCAAAAAGTATTTGTTCTAACCAAAAGATTTGGTGGGGTGGGGTTTTTTGCGTGTTTGATGGGTGCGCTAGGCTCACTTGGTGTGGAAAGGTTTAGATATTGGTTATTAGTTATTGGAGAATGAAGATAGGAGAGGTTTATTTTGGGGATAGATTGGATCCATTTTAAAAGTCTTTCTTTTTTGTGGTCTGATTTGTACAATCAATAGCTTTGAGAGATTGGATCTACTCCTGGGATTAAAATACAATAAGTTCAGAATATTAGGCAATATCAATGATTAAAAAACCTCTTCGTTTTTTAATCCTTAGAATACTTGTCTGCTAGTCTGCACAATTGTTGTTTAGAATTAGAAAATGTATGTTTTTGATACAAATGTATTCGCTAGGAATTTAGTATTGATTCAATGGATAACGAAAACAAAAGCAGATCTAAAAACCAAAAAATCATTCAATCACCTACAACTAGTAGTACTCCGTAGTTGGTAAAGAAGTGGGGTTCCGCTCCAGACTAAAAATGCAAAATTTTGCCAACTCCGCTCGCTTAATCCCTTCATCTCACATCCTCCCATCACCAACACCACACCATCTAAAACAACCAAAAAGATGCAAAATGTAAACATACAACAGTAGGGATTCGCTGGTGGTCACCCACCCAACTACTAATCTACCGATCTGAAGCTTGTGTATGGCAGAGCGGACGGGATGCCCAATTCTCTTCAGTCTATGGTCGTATGTATCGGTTGTCGTTCTACAGCAGATTATATAGCCTTTCTCTGCACTTCTTTTCCTCTATCTTTCCTCACTAAGTACTTCTAGATATCAGAGATCAGAGATCCACTCCAGCTCCACATTCTAGCGCACTCAAATTTTCCACTTCCCCCCCACCTCCATCCCCGCTGCTTCTCCTTTCCTTCCCTTTCTTCTTCTTCCTCGTAGTCCAAAGTCCGCGTACCCACACTTAAAATAACTTACCAAATTCGCACTAAAAAATCATCAAATAACACAATCACCCAAAGCGGCTTTAGCTCACTTGGGAGAGCGCCAGACTGAAGTTCACTTCGGCCCATTAAATCTGGAGGCACTGTGTTCGATCCACAGAAGCCGCATTCTGCGATCTTGAGTTCACTTGAGGTATATATTTTTTTTTGTTTTTTTTTTGAGGATATTTTTTGGAAAGGGAACTGGAGATTTGCGGTTGTGAATGGATGGAGAGGAGAGAAAGGGAGGGCTGATTGAGGTCAAGGTCTAGTAGAAGAATATTGAATGAGTGCTGAATATTTGTATCTTTGCCCTTTATTCGTTCCCGCTAATTACTCATAATTAGTGTCAAGTAGGAATAGTATCCACCTTCGAGCATCCAAACCAAATCCATAAAGTACTGATATCAATCACCTCCAGTAGTAACCCATTTGAAAAGAAAGAACCTGATTCTCTCCTTCCCTCCTCATTTCTTCCAAACCTGATCAGCATCCTCATGAATATCCACACTCTCAATACCCTTCCTCGCCTCCCTCTTCTTCATCGTATCAACATGAAACCTCTCATCTCTGTCTTTAACTTTATCCCATGGAACCTAATCCAATCAGTAAATCACTCTCATATATCCCTCCAATTTCCCATATACAACCACTCCCTCCTCTCTCCACTAAACCCCCACCACCCCTTCCTCTCCCCTGGGACCGCAAATATCAACCCCCAAAATCAAGAATAACATACCTGTTCATCCATCGTAAAACTCCCCATCAACACCGGCATCCCAAGCGGTAACTCATCCCCCCTATCCGTCTGCCAAAAATGAAATGTCTTCCCATACAATCCCACAATCTCTTTCATTTCCTCCGTTTCTGCCATTGTCCAGACGGCATCTGGGATTGTTGGGTTTGGAAGGATTAACATGCCGGATTTGACCTTTTGTGAGGGAGGGTTAGAAAGGATAAAATACCTATACTCCATCACACTTTGGAATACAGAGAAAGCTGTATGTAAGGGAGGAAATGAGAAGGGGAAGTAGAAGATGAAGGGAAAGAAAAATAAACAAACCTCATAATCATGCGAATGCCAAAGTTTTCTCTCCTCCTCTCCCAATTTCTCATATAATCTCCGCGTAATCATGTATTCGATTCCAATTAACCTCGCTGGATTCTTTGGCGCATCGTAAATTAGACATTGACGAACCTATGATATGTAATAGATGGAATTAGTAATTTTGACCCCTCAATGACATGACATAACCTCTTCTTCTCTATTTTCGTTTCCTAGTATTTTAATGTAAAGCAATTCGCTCACTAGGTATCGAAATTTTCAGTGACAACTTTGTCATAAGCTTGATAGCTACTCTGCACCTTTCAGTATTGCATTCATCCCTCTCACTCCCTCACTCCCTCATCCCACCCATCTCCACCCTCCCCAAGCAAAGCAAAGCAAACCCCTCCCCATCCTCCCAACCCACCAAGTTCAACCCCCCAAAAATCAAAAAAGAATAAAAAAAACCCCCCAACTCACCTCCCCACTCAAATGCGTACAATAATGATTAGCCTCGACACATCTCCCCGGTTCATCCACATAAACATGAAACGCATTAAGATGGGCACAAATTGCTTGAACTGGTGCGAAATCTTGGGTTATACCTATTTGTTGTTATTGTTAGTGTTAGTTAAGCATCCCAGTATCAATGTTAATGTCAATATAAATATCAAAATCAAAATCAAAATTCGGGAATTTTTAAACTCAGGGTGGTTATACCAAGAAAAAGTAGTTTATATAGAAGAAAGAGTAAGCGGGCAAAAATAATAGACAATACAATATAACACAATACATACTAGCACCAGTTTCTAGCACTTTATCTTTCGTACTGGGTTCCGTACCCGGTGCTCCATGTGTGAGGGGTTGATGTGTCATTTTATTCTTCTCTTGGATTGGACTTGGTAGGTGAGGGTAAATAAGGGCAAGTAAATAAATTGTATAAACTTCCGGTTCCACTTCAATTATATCATGCGTATAAATCAAACCCGAGACTGAATGGTGTAAGATGTGGTATGGGATACGGAATGGAAACTTCAAGTATCTTATATCTTCATCTCCATCTTCATCTCACTGCGTACGATATTTAATATTTAATATCTCACTCCTAATCTCACTACTGTACATACCACACAATTGATTGATGTCAACCTTAAGCGCAACAATAGGATAGGAGCAAACATTCCGAAATCAAGAATTCATTTGGAATGTTACGTCATACATACATACTCATACATGCATCACCTAACTCATGTTGGGTGCTCCGGACCCTTCTCTCCTCATATAACGAGTGAGGGGTAAAAGGAAAGAAATACTTAATTACCTAATCATTCTTCATCTGATTCTGATTAGATCCAGATTCAGTTTGCAAGGTTGATTTCATTGGAGATAAATATATAATTTTCATAATCATAACTGCATGCCAACTTGTTTTGAACCCCTCTACCATAAAAGCCATATGCATAAAATCAACATCAACATCATTAGATCTTCGCTATTGGTTCTCTAGAAAATCCCTATCAGTATACACTTTCATGCGGTCACAGAAACGACCAATTACTTACTCACTTAAAATTATTCTTCATCTCCCTTAATTTCGCCATCACTTCCACTGGATCTGTCTTTCCCGTCGCCTTTTGAATTTCCGGATCTTCCACCCTCATAAATACATTATGTTTCTTCTCATCCCCAATAGTAAACTTACCCTGCGTATACTTATTCTTCTCTGCAAAATCTTCTAATGCCTTTACTGCTTCACTTTGTGAAACAGATACAGCAAATTTCACATTGGCCTTTGTGTATTCATGTCCGGGCTATTGTTAGAAAATTAGTAAATTAGTATGAGATCGCATACTTGTATGTTATGGATGTGAAGGAAAGAAACCTACATAAACAATTGTATCATCCGGTACAGCTGCAAGTGTTTTATTAAGCGCTGTATGCATTTCCTCAGCCGTTCCTTCAAAGAATCTTCCACATCCTATTTCTTGTCAGCCCCATGCATCATCATAATCTCTACCTATCCCCTTTTCAACAATCAGGCCGATTCACTTACCTCCATGAAATAGTGTATCACCCGTAAAAATTGCCTTCTGACCCTTATCATCCTCCATAAACCAACAAATACTATCCTGTGTATGACACGGCGTATAAAGTGCCTTAACCTTGATCACTCCGAGATTAAATCCCTCTCCATTTTTCGGTGTCTCTGTAACCCCCTCGCAATCTTTACCACCAATTATGGGTAAGCCTTTAAATTCTGGATAGTCGAGCTGAGTGGATGGTGTTAGCTAAGTTATGTTTTGGGGAGGCGAGGAAGGGGAGCTTACTAGTTTTTTGTTTCCACCTGCGTGGTCCCAGTGGCTGAATTGCGATTGTTAGTGTAATGCCTTTGAAGACGAATGCCCGATAGAAACTCACTGGTGTGTATTAACGATTGCTTTTAAATTGATTAATTTATCCTTAATTTGTAGTTGTAAGGCGGGTGCGACCCTATTTATGTTGTCAGTAGCCTCTCTCCTATCTTCCTCATCAAATATTCTCTCCAGTTCTCCATCCTCTTCCTATCTCCCTTTTCTCCCCCCTTCCCCATCCGCCAATCATCCCATCCATCCACCACCCCTTCCCTTCTCTCCCCACCCCCCTCAAAGCAAAGCAAAACAACACAAAACAAAAAACCCCAAACTCACTCCTCCGGATTCGCCGGATCAATAATCACGGCATCTCTACTCTTATCATCCACCACCAAATACGCATAATTATTCGAGCTACCCTCCCACATCGGAATACTTTGAACATGCATTTTGCGAATATGTGTCTGTCGAATCGTTCTTGCAGGTGTGAATTTCTGATGAGATATAGATGATTAGCTTTGATTCTTCCATCTTTTAGTTTTTCCTTTTCCATTCCTCCCCTCCATCTCCTTCCCCATGCCATCCCCCCTCCGCCCCAAAAATGATTATTCCCTCCCTCTCCCTCTCCCTCTCTCATCTCTCCAAGCCCCGCAGAGCGTATCCAATCCCCCTCATCCAATTCCCCCTCACACAAAACACGAATCCCACTCTTGAAAGTAAACATATATACATACCTGTGAAAATGAAGAAACAGTGGATCTGTTGATCTTTGAAAAGAGTGATCGTGGTAGCATCTGCGTTGCCGAAAAGGTGACCTGTTGAAAACAGAAGAGGGAGAGGGAGTGAGTTATTATTGACTTATCAATCAATCAATCGAATCAGTATCCTCAAATCAGCACCTCTCCATTCGTCAATAACCCCTCCCAATATCCTGGTAATCAATCAATAACGAAATGTGGGGTAGCTAAGGTTAATAAAGATTACCTTTACTCAGGCGGGCATTGGATGAGTGCCACACTTCAAATTTAACAAATTTCCCCACCAAAATCAACACAAACTCCTTTATTTCCAAATTCGACATTAAAATAAATATATTAATAATTTAAAAATAAACCTTTGTAAATATATATAAAGAATTACTTTAAAATATAATTTGTATTTTGAGAATTGATTTATCTAATATTGTTAAGGAATTATATAAGAAATTACAATTGCTTTAATGATTTTAATGAGATTGGTAAAATGGTCTGGTATTGACCCAATACCCCGCCTGAATAGTCTAATCGCCGAAAACATCTAACATCTAACATCTAACCTCTCTCTTTTCTCTTTTATATTACAGAGCGTCTAAGTATTTGATTTGATTGTCCTTTGGTGGCAGTAAGGTAATCTCTACAATTCCTTATGAAAATGTAAATGAAAATGCAGGTCCATGAAAACAATTATTTTTCACTAAGTGTAATTACCCTTCATGAAGATGAAGTCGACTAATTCGGCGATAAGGAGACCTTATTTTTTGACATGTTGCTAGAGTAAACTTACATTTTCTGTGCATAATAATCTGCTTCACCTCACTACCATTATTCAACACCGTCACGAGAAACAAATCAAATTAAATCGCTATGGTATTCTCATTTGTTATGATAAACCTAATGTCACATAAGAAAACGCTATTTCGTACCAAAGATTATGGTCGGAGAACTCCAATCCATCACATCATGATGATTCATCAT